CTGGAGACTGACCAGCACCAGGCACGATGAGAGAGCGCACCCCGTTCCCCAGGGAGCTCATCTCACGCCTCCCAAACCTCAAGCTCCTCCTCACGACCGGCACGCGCAACAAAGGCCTGGACTTGGAGGCCTTCAAGGACCACAGCATCCCCGTTGCCGGCGCGGTGAGCTCTGGCGACAGCACGACACAGCACTGCGTCGCACTGATCCTCGCTCTGGCCCGCAACATCGTGCCGGACGATCAATCCGTCAAGACAGGCGGGTGGCAGACCGGAGTGGCTGTGGGGCTATCGGGGGCAGTTCTCGGGGTGATCGGGCTGGGCCGTCTGGGCGTCGCTGTGGCAAAGATCATGCACACCGCGTTCGGCATGAAGGTAACGGCGTGGAGCACGAACCTGACGCAGGACAAGGCCGACGAGCAGGCCAGAGAGGCGGGCCTCCCTGTTGAGAGCGAGGACGGGGAGAAAACCTTCAGGGTGGTGAGCAAGGAGGACCTGTACAGGCAGTCCGACGTGGTGAGCGTGCACGTGGTGCTATCGGACCGGTCGAGGGGTATGATCACGAAGAAGGAGCTGGAGCTGATGAAGGCCGAGGCATTGTTCGTCAACACGTCCAGAGGGCCTCTGGTAGTGGACGAGGATCTGCAGGACGTCCTGGAGAAGGGCAAGATTCGGGCCGCGGCGATGGACGTGTTCGAGCTGGAGCCGTTGCCGCTTGATAGCCGGTGGCGGACGACGAGGTGGGGGGAAGATGGGAGGTCTCAGGTGCTCTTGACGCCTCATACGGGTTACGCAGAGAAGGAGACGCTTGCAAAGTGGTATGAGGAGCAGGTCGCAAATATCCTCAGGTGGGAGAAGGGAGAGCCGCTGGCCCACGTCATGGCCTGACTGGTTGATGCAAACAACAGCCAGCCTGACACGCACCTGGTGCCTTCCCCATCCTGTATCAAAGACACGTACCTTCCCTTGCAGCCTTTGTTCAACAAACACATTGTGACTGCCATCTGGTACACGCCTGCCTGCCTTTGTCCATCTCTGCCTGAAGACGGCCCCCGCCTCTGTCAGTATCGACGAGTCACTCCCTGTTTGCCACCACATTGCTCCTCTCCCTCCACATGCCTGGGGACACATCAGTTCCGTTGTATACCCGACCCTCCACTACCTTCTTGGCTGCCCACGCTGGCGTCGTTGTTGTTGTGGCTGTTTTGGTTGGATCTGCCCTCCGTTTGACTGACACGCCTTCCGAATGCCCACAGACCTCATTGAAAGTCTGCTTGCAGACATGAGCCAGACGGCGTCTTCAGACATGATCCCTCTCAAGGTGGAGCCTGGCGAAGCAACAAGCCTTGGTCGGTATCTCCCCTTCGTTGGCCCTGACCTGGACATCTCGACAGCATTATCACTGACAATTTTCAAAGACATCCCGCCCTTCCCAAGCTACTCCGTCGAGCCCGAGGGCGGCTCTATCACAAACAATCCGACCAAATACTCATTGCCAAGGTCCTTCAACGGTGGCCCCGTTCCAGCCCCAGGAACCCCTCAAGACCGTTTCGCAGCTGTTCTGGGCCATCCTCGGTACAATTCCATGCCCACGCCTCTGACGGGCATGGGTTTGAGCACGACGCAGCCTTTCCCAACCTTGTCACACCAACAGCCTTCCGCATTCAACATGCACTTGGCTTCTCCATGTGTTGACATTCCTGGAGCCCTCCCCGCGTCTCAGTCTATCGCCGACTTTGTACCACCTGCCGTGCGCAAGTCGCAAGCAGGGTCAAACGGGAGGTCTGACAACAGCGGCGGGGGCCGAGGCCCGACTTTACCTGAGCGTGGAGCCCCAGTGACAACGTGGTAAGTGATCCTGCCGTGGATCAACACCGTCCCCGGCCGCCCTAGAGAAGAGTTGTCGCATGGCGTGCCACATGGCTACACAAGTGCTGCTTCTTCGACTTTGTGGGCACACGTGCAATAGTATTACTGAAATCGTCCTAGGCTAAGCTTCGAGTGTCAACGGCGTCATTTCAATCCCGAGTTCAAGACCAAGGAAACTTTCACCAAGGATGGAAGGCCCAAGTACCAGTCAACGGTGATTGTGAAGGATATTGTGATCGATAGCAATTCCCTTTTTGACGACCCTGGAGCTGCGAAGGCGCATATCGCCGACAAAGCACTGAGGTACATCCGTCGGGAGTGGCCCAGGAACGGATTGCCCGCCTCTTATGGCGGCACCTCCGGACCGACCGCTGTCAAGACCCAGGTGGAAGATCTTGGCCGCCGCCAGGAGGAGCTGAGGCAGATGCTCAAGCGGCGTCACCAGACCAAGAGTACAGAGCCGCGACAGAACGGTAACAGCCCTCCAGTGTCCCCCAGCGTGGACATGGCAGATCCCGCCCAAGCTCAGGCCTTTGTGGAAGGCTTCAAGGTCGGCCGCCTGGCAGGTCTGCGGGAAGCGACTGGAAGTGGCTCCTCGCCGCCCAGCATCCCGCAGTCCCGCCGCCGATCTCGATCTCCAGGCCGCGGCCGGAGCAGCTCGCAGAGCAAAGCAGACGAGCTATATCGGCAGCGTTCCCCGATTCGTGATGCCACCAAGACAAGCCGCACTGCTCCCTCGCCCCCTCGCTACTTCGATGGCAGTCGTCACGGTAAGTAATTGCAAGCAACCTTTCCAAATTGAGCTTCCTTGGCTGCTCGCGTGCTCCGAGCAACCTACAGACCGTGGATGGTCTCCCACAAATTCTATTGCTGACCAATGGCATTCGGCAGACGTCCGCCTGCCCTCGACCGACAGATATCGACCCCGGAGCTCTCCTTCCAAGAAGTGAAAGGGCCTGGTGTTGCTCGGCGAAGTCTTGGCACCCTTTAGATGCGTAGACAGTTTTGTGGTTCGCCCCCGAGGCGAGCATAAACTGTTTTGTTGACATCTTGTCCACTATCAGCCAGTAAACTGGCTGCTTCTCAAAACTTGGCTGGTCAGAACAGGATTTGGTTGGTTCTCAATCCGTGGAGAATAACGGCTTCTGGTTCCTGACTCCCGGTACCCAAGTTTGGGTACGTTAGACTTACCTGCCGATTCAGTTGGAAATTCGCAAAGCTCAGGCTCAAATAGCCATCTGTGCAAGAGCCAGAAGCATGCGAGATGCCTGGATTTTATCAACGCCGTTGTTGAAATCTTGCATTGAGCGATCTGCCACTTGGGATGCCTGCGAGAGAACACTTCTTGACCTGAGCTGGGGCAGTCCGAGAATATTACTAGGCGTCTCTGATGGATTCGACTTGTTGCATTGGAACTGTTGGGAGGGAGCTTGACTGCTAGCTTTAGCGAGCGTCCAGCCGAAAAAAGGTCAGAGGGAGCAGCCCCGTGTCGTGGCGTGTGGCTTTGCGACTTGAATCCTTTGGACTATAGTTCATTTTCGAGGAAGAATTCTCTGTAATCGCATTCAAATTCACGAAGGAGTTTCGGATGAGATTGGCTGTAATGTTTGTTGATTTCGAATTCAGACAATTCTATTGAGACGATATGGAGTCTCGCAGCCATGCTGTCGCCCTACGCATACTCACGCTTGCCAAAATACATTCATCATTTTCACGATGTTATGAAGCGCTGTGCCTCAAAGACGACTTGGCATCCTTGCCCCTCCGTCCAACCTAATCACACATCCGTTCAGCATGACATTCTCGATAACATGCCTGGCCAGGGACGCAAACTCGGGTGCCGTGCCGCCTCGCTTAGGAAACTCCATAGCCTTCTCCAGGCTCGTCCGGACCTTGTCGCTCAGCACGCTGGTCATGGGCGTCTCGAACGTGCCCGGTGCGATGGTGACGACGCGGATCCCGTGCCGCGAAAGGTCCCTCGTCATGGGGAGTGTCATGGACGCCACGGCGCCCTTGGAGGCCGCGTACGAGACCTGGCCCATCTGCCCGTCGAAGGCGGCGGCGGACGAGACCATGACCACCACGCCGCGCTCCTTGTCGCCAGAGGGGGTGACGGACGGCGGGGACTGCGACAGCTGCGGGAGGAACTGCCGCACCAGGTCGATGGTGCCGCGCAGGTTGATGCTGAGGACGAAGTCGAGGGACTGCAGGCTTAGGGGGCGGTTCTTGCCGTCGAGGATCTAAGTGTGCTGCGTTGAGTGGGGTGTAGTAGCGCTGCGTGAAGGGGGCTCATCATACCAGGGCCGGGTTCCCAACACCAGCGGCGGGGATGATCCCACCCAGCGGCTTGCCCGTCTCGTGAACCCATTCTGCCGCGCCCTTCACAGCGGTGGCGATGCTCTCCGTGTCTGTGACGTCCACGGCGAAGAACCTGGCCCGCGACGGCCCGCCCAGCTGCTTCACCAGCTCGGCGCCGGCGTCCTCGTTCAGGTCGAGGATGGCTATGTTGCCGCCTTCCTTGTTCAGCTCGATGGCTGTTGCACGACCGAGGCCCGATGCCCTGTTTTGTGGTGGCGGCTGTGTTAGCAGACTTTGAACTTGGAGCGAGGTGAGTGAGGGCAGGGCAGGGCATGGCAGGACGGGGTTGGGAGTCTGTCAGCCAGTCTTGCATGTGATCGGCCGTGGAGCGCGTCTTGTTATCTCCATTGAGATGGTATGCATGTTTGGCTGGAGCCACGTACCCGCCTGATATCACGAATGTGCGTCCCGAGATCTTCATCGTGACGACTGAGGTTTTTCCCGGTGTGAAGTGGAGGCAGACAGTCCGTAGGCGCTGTCTCGGTGTATCTGTCCGTCTCGTCTCACTGACCACTCGGGGTCCGGCTCATCATCCACGGGCCTCGGCCCAGATCCTGCCCAGGTGCAAACCCAACCATTTGCTTACCTCATCACTGACAAAACACGTGTGCTACACTTGTGCTTCACTTCTGCCTGAATTCCGAGGTGTGTTCTTGACGTACAATCAAAAAGAAGAATAAAACTCAGGGTAGTAGACACAGCAGACAGAAGCCCTGAGAGTAAAAAAAACATGAAGACACAGCAAACAGAAGCCCTGGGAGTAAAAAAACATGAAGGTCCTACCCGGGTTCGAACCGGGGCTCCGGGAATTCGAGCAGAAGCAAGAAATGTCAAAATCCCATGTCCTAACCACTAGACTATAGGGCCTCGATTTGGAAATGGTCATTTTTGACCAGTTACGGAGCCCGGATCCCTACTTTTGAGAACCCAAGCGAACCTTCCTTGCCCACTTGATGCCTGGTATTTGTGCACATCCAGCCGCCTAATAGGCACTAAACATATAGCTGTAAGGCCAGAATAGACATAGTAATGCTCAATTAGGGTGATAAATAAACATTTGAGGTATAAATGTTATTAGACTCTAAGTCTCCCTGACGTTTAATGGTGCCCCCCCTGTGTGTCTAGTTCTTGCTTCTATGCAATACGGTGCAATTTTGTCCATCTTGTGCTAATGAATTCTATCTTCTGATGATGCTGCAATTCTAAGTTTTGATTCTAGGGAGGATTTTTTGTTTTATATATATAATGTTGAGACTTTAAGAATTCAGGTAGGTGTTGTTAATCGCTGATGATATATCGCAAGGTAATGTGTTCTAGAGCATTTAAAGACAACAGGCTATGAATTGTAAAGAGAGAATAATGGTTTCTATAACCTCTGGCTGGTCATCAATCTAAGTCAAGTTCCGCTTAATACTGTAGACCACCATGCTTTGCTGTCTGTTCTAAGGCTATTTCGGTGGCCACAACAAGCAACAGTTCACATCCGACCTAGCCTTGAGATAGACTGTCTCCCCAAGGCTGAGCCTATCAAAATGTACCTTATCGCCCGGAACAGCCCAGGGAGTGCAGGTTGGCTAAATCTAACTGAGAATGACAAGGAGGGAGACTTCGCTCCTCCCCAAATGTGTTCTAGTGCACATGATTTGTTGATCCGAAGTTGATTCAGGTTCATATTGCTATGGTTGAGTGTGCTTGGATGAAACTTCTTCTCCGCTTCGCCTAAGTTACGTTTGCCATTGCAATATCATCCAGCTACTTCAACTGAGTCCTCACTTGCGGTGAAATACAGCCCTGTGCTGACACATGTTCAGTCGCATTTTTGTCTACATGTGTAGAGACCTTTCCCTTGTCTACCTAAGTTTTCAGCTACGTCTCGAGCGCGGCGGGTTTCTCGCTATGCAATGTCAGCAGAGGAAGTGTGTCAAGGAAGAGTCTGCGCCACGTAGCTACATACGCGCAAATGTGGTAGCATCCATGCTCGTCGGCATCAACCTTGCAGTACAAGTTCGGCTGAGCGCAGCACGACGTATCTCCCGCTCCACCACAACAGTCTTTCGTGAACGTCAGTAACCCAAATGACCTTAATAGTTCTCAAAAAAAGAGAGGAGAGAGTGAAGGGTATGTATGGAAAGGTGAGAGGGGCCCCACTCACTTCCTAGTCCGCGGCATATCTGAGCCGACGCACCCATTGCCATCAGGGCAGACACGAAAACTATGATGAAACGCATCTTGACGGAATTTTGATCGCGAGTTGGGTGAGTTTGTGAAGAGTTTGACCAGAACCGAAGTTGGTGATGTCAAACGCAGACGTGTTCGGGAACGTTTGAAGACCTGGTTTCATAGATAGTCGTGCACCTTTTACTTACCGCACTGAGCTCGCATGTTATACAAAGAGATAATGGCAATGCGGAGTGGTCTGCGAGAAACTATAGCTATGGATAAAATAGCACGGTCTCGTATTTCGTGAAATGCCAAGTCCGAGGCCGAGGCCTATACGTCCCAATAAGGCAGGCAAATGAATAAGCTCGGCTTAGTTCGTGGATGTTGGATAAGCTTTTTCAGGGGCATCAATGCAACAGTTGTCCCTGGTGCCAGTCTCTCACTCACAACCAGAAAACTGAACTGAGAGTCTTTAGTGACGAAACATCGATTTATTAGAATGTAACAATGACTAGATCAATCTACCTATGGAGAACTTGGCCGACCGTGATTCTGCCGGTGCTTACAAACCAGAGTTCTCTTCGCAGTCGGCATCATGTATCTGCAAAAGTCAAAGCTAATGGGTGTCCTCGGCCCAGCTGCCCCGTGACCATTATTGGACAGTCCCACCTTCCGGGATAGGTGATATTTGTGAGAAATTCCACGGGGTGACGCGCAGGTCTGCTCACACCTGCTCACTTAGCTCGGCGATTAACAGCTCTTTGAAGCCACGCAGGGGTCCTCATAATCATCATCGTCATCACCATCGTCCCACGGGAAGGCCTTGAAGACGATCTCGGTGCAGTCCTTCAGCTGGGTGACATCGTTCTCCAGGACGATGAGCTTCTTCCATCTGCAAGCATAGGTCAGTATCTCTTCGTATTTGTGAACAGACATATGAGAAAAAGCATACCCATCGACATAGTCCTTGACCCAGGCCTCCTGGCTGGCAGCGTAGACGTTCCAGGAGTCACGCGTCTCGCCGTACTGCGACAGGAAGAAGTCGCTGGGCAGCGTGGTGGGGGCGTAGCCGTCGCGAGTCTCGCTGTAATAGGTCCAGGAGTCAAGCTTGCCGACGCTGGTGTCGAAAGGCACGCCTGTGTGGTTCTTGCCCGCGCTGTGCGAACCAACCAGCGCGACAAGATCATCGGCCGTGAACCCTCGGCCGGCGAAAACATCGATCAGCTGCGGAGCCGGCAGGATCGGCGCGGGCAGCTGGCCCGGCTGAGAAGCCGTCGGGTTGTCCGTACGCCCGATGTAGAAGGGCGTGTAGGGACCGCCTGGGCAGGCCTTGTTGCCGATGGCTGCGAGACGTCAGTGTCTTGCCGGCATATTTGCTCGGTGTGGATCAAAAGGTTATACTCACCACCGGCCAGGTTGATCAAGTCAGCCACGCTGACCTTGTATCTCTGGGCCACATCTCCCAGCTTGCTGCAGATAGGGATGAGTCTCTCGTTTTCAAAGCGAGTGAAACACTCGTCGGTGAGAACGATGGAGCCGTCACAGCCACCACCCGGGAAGCAGTCATGGAACGGCAGGCGGATGGCCTGGCGAGCGTAGTTGGTGCAGAAGCCGTACTTGTCGATGAACTCGTACTTCAGCTCCTTGGCGATGTAGTTCCAGACCTCGGGACACTTGGGCTCAGCTCTGGCCTCCGGCGCGCCAATGACCCCGGCAGCCAGGAAGAGAGAGATGAGAGCACGCTTTGAAAACATCTTCGGAGGATATGAAGACAGGTAGGAAGCTCCACGAATGATAAAGAACAGGAAAATAATCAGAACCTTGAAGTCTGATCAGGTTCAAAACGAATGTCCCCAATTTGGCACACCCTTCTGAGAGTCAGAGTTCGACGAGGAGAAAGCAGCAGCTTCTGCGGACGCCCCAACCGAAGAGGACGTCCCCATCTTAAGGCACCCTCTCCATTCAGCAATCGCTTGGGCCACCATCAATGCCGAGACATCATCAATACCCGAATTTGCCATCGTCGTGACCCGCTGGCGAGTTTCCACGAGAAAGCTCAAGAAGTTGAAGAGCTAGGGCAACCTATCAGAGAATGAAGGCTGGCTCGTGCGAGGCTGGCTGCCGTCCAAAAACAGGCGGCCCAAAATTAGCGCTTTCGCTTTGATTATAGACGGTTGTAGTGTTTACGCGACGCGGTGCGACGGACTACCAAAAACAAGGCGAACAGCTTGCCCGGCAAAAGTTTTCGTCCGATTCGTCATCGAATACGAGCAATGAGATCGCAGGAATTGCTCATGAACAGGCAATTGTGCTAATACAGTCAACAGGATTGGTGCTTCGCTGGGGAGAGGGGGCTGGAATGTTGTGGTGGCGACGTTGCGTAGCTCGAAAGCCATCAAAGAGACGGCCGGAATCTCGAGGAAGATTGAGGTTGTCTGGACGAATAAGAAACTAGATATTGCTAAGCTACCTACCTAGGTATTGCCCAATTTCCATGTCATATTGCAACACAACCATAATACCAAAAAGATATGAAAACGTCACTGCGGGGCCCCTGTGGCTTTAATATCTTCTACCTGGTTGTCCCACAGGAGGGTATCTCATAGGATGGTAACCCATTGGACATTTGTTCCTTATGGGATTGAGACTCCAGAGGAGGTTATCCCATAGGAAGTGTTGAGCAGAAGAAAGCCTATCGTACTAAACACCCAAAGAAGGAACGTTGCATAGCCGAGAGCATTGGCGTGGCTGACACTTTCATGCGTACCGTGACAGGAAGTTATCCCATAGGACGTTATTCTAGAGGCAGTTGGGCAGTGAGTCCTGCCCAGATGGTTCACTAGAGATGGTGTGGACGCGAAGTAGACACGGCGAGAATGAGTAGGTAACTAAGACTTAATTGAATACACCTAATCTATGGTATCTATCCATGACTTGCTCATGCAACATGAGACTGGGAAAGCCGACGTGAGCTTGTTTTACACGGCCCCAATTTCACTTGCCTTTGATTTCCAAAACACCCAGCGTCCCGAGCTCGGACGGTTCTTGGTGGACAACAGCTTGGAGCTTGGGCCCCCACATGTGTGCAATCACTGTTGACACAACAGCTGAGATCGAGAGAGCAGCCCAAAAGTGCCAGGATTGCAGAAGACTGCACATGGGTGGTTCTCTGGCCAAGATCTCTGCAGCGGTATAGTTCTTGTTGCGCCCCGCAGGGGCTTGTCCGGTAAAGACGATGTGGACGATGTAGCCAATCCACCCACAGACGGTGAGGAGGCCGATAGTCCTTAGCTTCGGGGCCGCAGGTATCCTTGCTTTGTCCCAGTCGAAAGCGCAAAGGTAGTCCATGGTCGCGGAAAACATCATGTATAACCCTCCAATAACGGACGTGTCCTGCAAGAGAAACTTGACCCAGTATGGTGGCGACGATGGTCCATGCCTGAATACAAGCGAGTCTATAGTCTGGTTGTCAAAGAGCTCGAAATGGTACATTTTGCCGGAAATCTTAACCAAGCTGATCCGCCAGGCAGTCATGAGTCCAGCGAGCGAGGTCAGACTGATGAATGTGTTGGTCTTCGTCATGGTAGAGTTGGCGGCTCTCTCGACCACCTCTCGCACCAGGAAGCTCTTCAGCGCTGCACTCTCTACCGAGGCGTACCCGGTAGCAAAGACGAAGACGAAGATGAGGTATTGGCCAATGTTGATGA